CCCCCCCCCTCTCCGGGGGTGGGCCTGCCTACCCCCGCCGGCTGGGAAACCCGCGCCGCCCCTCGGCCACCGTCCGCTGGGGACCGGGAAAGAGAGCACACCGCCAGGGTGAAGGCGTCGCAGCCTGGGGGGACGGAGGTCGGGAGCCACTGATGATGCTGGGGACTGCGCTGCGTGGGTCTGTAGTTGTGAATGACCCGTAGCCGTATGCATGGGCACCAGTCTGTTCCATGAGGCTAGGCAGGATTACATGCTGTTGTCCCCACTTCACACTGAGATCACTGAGATGCTGTATCATGTTACTCACACATAATAAGTGGCATGACAGAATGCCCTACCCAGCCTTAGAGTCTAAGGACTCAAGAACTTTGTCACTACAGTTGGCCTATCACAGTAGTTAGTACAAAGGGAGCTGGATCTCACGCAGTCCACCGTGGGTTCAAATTCCAGCCCTGGGCCTCCAAAAAGCATCTTGGGCTTACAAAATATGCAGGCTGTGTGTCCACAGTTCTGCTTCGTGGGAAAATGGATGAAAAAGGATTGTGATGTGACCACACTTTACTGAGGGTTGCTTTTTCTCTCTGGCAAGTGCATATACGCAATCCCAATTAAAAAAAAAAAATAGGACCAGCAGGTGGCTTAGTGATTTGGCGATATACTCCCACATGGTCAACCATGATATGAACCCCTGACTTGGCTTGAAACTCATGCTCAGTGCATGTGTTTCCTAAGAGGAGAATGGAGGAAAAGGTACTGCAGTGTGGCCTCCCCCCTTGGGGTGATTTCTTGCTTTCTGTCTCTGGCAAGCATACACACTCTATAGCAAAAATCTCTTAAAAAAAAAAAAACAAAAAAACAAACAAACAAAAAAACCTTGTACTAAGAAGCCCTGATCTGTACAGTGCCTAGAATAAGGGGGCCTACTGGTTCCCCAAATTTCTGCACAACTACCAGCTACTGTCCAGTAGGTCAAGTCTTTTATCAAGGCCAAAGCCATTCTCTCCTCCTAAAGGAGCACATAACTAGCATGCAGTAACTGAGAGGAGCTGGAAACCTGAATCAAGTCAGCTTCACAAACAACAGTGCCCAGAGTCATCCCTCCTTATGTTTGCTAGGCAGGGCATGGAGCCCATCACAGTCTTCACCACTGCTGTTGAGGCTAAATATACAGAACTTGTTTAAACAGCTCTTGAAGTTAAGCAGCTTTCTCAACAAAGGAGGGCTTGAGGTATAAGGAGAAGTGGATATAAAAACTGATAATTTGGGACTGTCAGGTGGACTGGTGGCTGGGGGCACTGGATTCCTACATGGCCGACCACAGTTCGAGTCCCAGACCTGGCAACTTGCTTTCTCATTTTCCCTTTCTCTCTCCCTCTGGTCAAACTTAAAAACAATAACAAATGGAATTAAATAAACAATTATCTTTAAAAAAAAAAAACCTGATAATTCTTCTAGGCCTTGATCAGAAGCTATGTTGTAGAAAACTCGTATTTGTTGACTTTCTGGAGGAAAGTATGGAAGACCTCAGGAGGGAGGGAATGGTCAGATTTGGGAGATGAGGATGAGAAAACCATAGGGTACTTTTAAAAAGAATGATCTAATTTTATTTATCATTGTCATTATTTTAAAATTTGCTACAGGGTACCACGTGCACGACAGAGACAGGGAAAGCAAGAAAACAAGCTGCCAGGTCCAGCACTTGAACTGCATTCTGCCATGTGATACTTCAGTGCCTTAACCACTTTGCCACCTGCTGGCTCCACCATAGGGTATTTTATGGATTTTTTTTTTTTTTGAGAGGGTTTTGCTATAGGTGCATGCACTCGCCAGAGAGACAGAGAACTATCACTCCCCCAGAGGGATGGCCACTCCGCAATCCCTTCTCCTCCACTCTTGGGATCTTGGGCACACATGCACATGCGTCCGGTGTGAGTTTAAGCCACCGGGTCTGGGACTTGAACCGCAGTCGACTACATGGGAGTTCAGCAACATAGCCATTACGCTAACTGCTGGTCCCTGGAATTATTAACATGTTTAAAACAGTAATTGATTTTTAAAACGTGTGTTTCTGTGTTTTCTTTCTATACTAAGTTCTATGTTTGAGAAATTATAGTTCTTTGTGATTAAAAACACCTGTAACAAGCACTCTCATTTGTATAGTGGTAACTGTGAGCATTTATGCATTTTGATTCATTCCTGTATTTGAATAAAGATATTAGTAATACTGTAAAGAGCTCTTTTAAAGTTAATTTCAGTAATATAAATACCATGTAGTTTGTTTCTAATTTTTAGAATCAAATAAACTAAAAAAAATGTAAGGTTCTCTCAAATGCTTCCTCCTTTTGGACACCTATCTTGACTCCTACCTCTCTCCCCTGGAAGGGGTATCCATTTCATCTCTGTGCCCTGGGGCTGCAGATTTAATCAGGCTGTACCACCTGGTATTTTCCAATGGCACTAATGAACTCCCCCAGGGCAGGGACCAGGCTCCAGCTGTCAGCCCTGCTCAGTTCCTCAGAGTAAATGCTCAACTAGTGTTTGAAAAGAAAAAATATACCCCTTCACCAATCAACAAAGAAACAACCATGAGGTGGCACCTTTCCAACTTAAAAAAAAATTATTATTGGGGACAGGAGATGACGTGGTGCTTAAGGGCACTGGACTCCCACATGGCTGACCACAGTTCAAATCCTGGATCTGGTGACTTGCTTTCTCAATTTTCCTCTCTCTCTCTCTCTCTCTCTCTCTCTCTGTCCCTTTCTGGTCAAATTTAAATAAATAAATACAGATAAATTAAATAATTATTCAAAAAATTACTTGTTATTATTATTATTTAATTTGACCAGAGACAGAGAGAGAGAAAGCAACCTGCCAGGTCCAGGACTAGAACCACAGTCAGCTATATAGGTGTCCAGCGCCTTAACCACCACAGTACTTGCCAGCCCCTACCTTTCCAACCTTTAAAGTAGCAAACATTTCTAAAGAAGCTGCGAGAGTCCGAAGACCACAGCCTGTTCCAACTTTCCCAAGGACAATTTAGCAGCTTCCCCCAGGGTAATACCCAGAAATGGGGAGGTAGAGGGCAGAGGCATTCAAAGATAGAGCGGCTGCTAAACAGTATTAACTCCAAACCTGCAAGTCAGCAACCAGCAGCCTACCTGGGCCCATTCATTGGGAAATGCAAAACACAGCGCCAGCCAAGCCCTGGGACGATGCACGCCAGGCTCCGGTACTGGCCACAGGTCTTTTCTGGGTTCCCGAATCCTGGCGATCACTTTCAGAACCAGAAAAGGCAGCACGTGCTATTTGAAAACACAAACATTGTCATAAACACAACCCAGGAGACTCCAGCTCTGCTGAAGGCCGGATGCTGCTCGGAGTCCATCTGTACACGCTGGCTCACCACCTTGGGACCTGGGCAGATATTGGGCGCCCGCCGTCACTCACTCACCCATGGCCTCGGACACAAGGATAGCGAAGCGCCCACATAGCGGCATGCAGTGCAATGGACAGGCTGCCTTCCCGCCAGCTTCTTGCCTTCTGGCCATAGTGGGTGGGTCCGGGAAAGAGCTGATACTGCCTACTAGGCTCCAAGCTTCCGGTCTCCAGCTGACTCTCCTCCTGGCCAGTTATTTCATCCGTTTACCTCGGGAGGGAGCCTGATGGATAAACCACCTGCAACCCCTAGAGGGAAATGTACTTAGTAGGGCTCCTCAGCTATGCCAAATTTCTTCCAGGCTCCATTACTGACGTGGGGCGGGCACACGAGGGATAGTTTAGAGGACATTTCTGGACCTCCCTCTCTGCCAGACCTGGACCTGAGGTCACTGAGCATCCTTCAGCCTGATCTGGGGCCTAAAGGGATGGAGGAGGACTTGGTCACTGAATTCCTACTGGTTCCAGGCTGTCTGGAGCTGGCTGGGAGAAGGAAAGAGAACCATGATGTAAACCATCCCTGTTCCTGAGAGCTCCTACTCCTGCCAGAGAAATGTAACCAAAAAGAGTTCTTTTAACAATCTGACAACAGAACCACAAGTTATGTTCAGTTGGCCTCATCAGACCTAGGGAAAATGACTCACTAGCATTTTGCTAAATGTGGAGTATGTATTAGAGACGGTCTGTCTTAAACACCCTAAAAATCTAAAATGTATGTTGGAAACAGGTCCCTTAAGAAGATGCACAGCAGGAGTGGCAGCTAAAAGCCACTGGTTAGAGTTATCCCCTCCCCCCAAGTCCCCACAAGCTCTCCATCACTGTTGGAGAATCTGATCATGTATTAATTGAAGGTGCAGTTGACTGAGAAAAAGGTGATTTCCAGTAAAATCCCCCAAAATCAGAAGATTGGAAGCCCTCGAGTACTATGTATAATATTTGGAATTCAGTAGCTTCTCGCATGGACAACTGAAGTGTACTCCAGGGAAGGTATGTAATAGCTTGGATTGAACTGAGTTACTGATTCTCCCAGACCATGTAGCAATAGCTCAGGTATGTGAAACGTTCACGTAATTTGTATACATTTGCAGGAGAGAAAAAGTCTTGGAGGAAACACACACCAAAGTGTTACATATGTTCACAAATTAGGTATTTCAGGCCAGATCTTGGGCTACAAAGAATAGAAATACAGCTGACAGAGTAGCAAGGGAGACAAATGGGCAAGACCAACACGTTATGGTCATTCTCTAATTTTTCTCTGTATTTTCTACAATATGTATAGATATCTCCTCCAGCACCAACAAAAGATTTTTACTTCTATTAAAAACAAGATTTCTTTCTTCCTAGTAAAAGATCAGCCGCCCTTCTGAGGGCGGAGTCTGAGGAGCGGGCCTCTGAGCCCACCCTCTGCCCAATTCCCAAAGCCCCTCCGTTCAGCTCCCAGGTTCCCACGGAACTCTAAGTTGGTGCATCTGGTACGCTACTGTGAGACCGGTCACACTACAGGCGACCCAGGACACCGGAAGTGAGGCCTCGATCGACTCAAGCAGCGCATTTCTCGTGCAAGACAGGTAGATGGCTGCGCACACAGCCCTTTGGGCGGAGAACCTAAGAGTGAACAGTCACAAAGCTTCTCAGACTCAGGTCCTAGAACCGCGGACCACTTTCGCCGGAAAGCCCTAAGTACGCCAGCTATTGGACGCAGAGTCGGAAGCGGAAGCCGCACACCGGAAACGGTGCTTTTTTAGTCCCCGCGATGGCTGAAGCCGTACCTGTTGCGGCGGAATCTTTCGCGGGCTGCAGGGCGCGTGCGGCGCGCACAGTGCTAGGTCAGGTGGTGCTCCCAGGTGATGAATTGCTGCTACCAGAACAGGAGGACCCAGAAGGCCCCGGTGGTGCAGGGGAGCGACCATTGCGCTTGAATCCCGGGACGCGCACGCGGGTGCGCGTAGTGTGTGGCCCAGGCCTGCGGCGCTGCGGGAACCGCCTGCTGGTCACCAAGTGCGGCCGTCTTCGACATAAAGAATCCGGCAGCGGAGGTGGCGTTTACTGGGTAGACTCGCAGCAAAAGCGGGTGAGCAGGGACAGTGGTATCACTGTCTGGGAAGACCTAACGGAAGAGGCAGGGATGGGGCCCTTGGAGTCCTCCTTTGCTAAAGCTTGTCTAGAGCCACCATTTGTGCAATTGCCCCAGGCTCCAACAGTTTTCTGCCTCCCTATCTATGTTCTTTAGAGAAACCGTGAAAATTAGGAACGTAGCCTGAGAAGGGCGACTAGTAGAGGGAAGGCTCCTGGAGAGCGTTGAGTCATGGTTTTTGTCTTCAAAACTTTAAAGATCAAGAAGCATCAGGCTTGCGCTTTGGAGCCCCAGAGGGCAGAACCAGGCTCACAGAGTGGATGTCACTGGGAGTTAGTTCTTAGAATAGGTAAGAACTGTCATATAGGAAAATCTTAACCATTAAATGGCCTTCCTTGTTTGTAAGGATCTCTGGGCCATTGGACTTACATGCAACAGAAGCTAGACTTTATGAGGAGGATGCTGAAAAGGTAAAGGATACTGACTTTAAATTAACAGTGTTAGAACCTGCAAGCCTCAGGGCTTATGATGTGATTTTCTCTCTTTTTTTTTTTTTGGAGAGATTTTCACTGTAGGGCGCGTGCGCTCGCCAGACAGACAGAGAGAGACATAGAGACAGAAAGCGAGAAATCACCCCCCAGGGGGGATGGTCACGCCGCAATCCCTTCTCCTCCATTCTCCTCTCGGAGTCTTGGGCATGCACGCACACGCGCCCAGCGTGAGTTTTAAGCCACCGGGTCCGGGGCACGAACCGCGGTCGACTACGTGGGAGTCCAGCGACATAGCCATTACGCTAACTGCTGGTTCCTAATGATGTGATTTTCTCTTGCTGAAAGTGGCATATGGCCAGATTTCTTGTAAGGTCTGTATTCATTTGTAAACTTGAGTTTTAAGAATATTTTCTAAACCTCTCTTGTTGACTATAAAGTAACCGCTGGGGACTTGCTGATGATATCTTCCAGTGATACCCAGTTATTTATGGCTATTCTCTCGTTTTTCTTTTGTAGTATGTTCCAGTAAAAGGAGACCACGTGATTGGTATAGTGACAGCTAAATCTGGAGATATATTCAAAGTTGATGTTGGAGGGAGTGAGCCAGCTTCTTTGTCCTACTTGGCATTTGAAGGTGCAACTAAAAGAAACAGACCAAATGTGCAGGTAAAGATGGGAGCCTTTGGTTTCAAAAATAAGAACATCCATTCCCTACAACACTCAGATATCCCAAAGAGTATCTGAATTGTCTCCAAAGCAGATCTCAGGTCTGGAGGAAGATCTCTGAACATTTGTGTAGTTTCCCCAGGCTCCAGGAGTCTAGGGGACTGGAGGCACATGTGTATTTTACACTTGGCCACATTGGTTCTACTGAGTTAGTAGATCCTATAGTCATGTATTGCTCAACAGTGGGATACATGCTGAGAAATGTCATTAGACAATTGCATCATTATATAAACATCATAGCGTGTACTTACATGATCTTGGGTGGGATAGCCTACTACACACCTGGGCTAAATAGTGTAGGCTATTAACCTGTGGGACCACTGTCATATATGTGACCTGTCACTGACTGACACATTATTAGGCAGTGAGTGATTTGTGTTATCTCCTTTATCTATGTCTACATCCACTGGACCAAAGAAAAAAGTCCACAGTAGACCTAGAGAGGGAGGAGGGAAAAGTGGTGTAATTTGTCATTGTCAGCCATATATCCCTCTTGGTTTTAGATCCTTAGAGCTGACAGGAGTAATCTTGTTATGTCAGATTTTCAGTTTGGGTATTTCAGGTAGCATAGTCACACTTGCTGTCTACAGAGCTAGAAATTTGGTGGTTTGTCTCTTCTCATTAACCTCTCATGTGAGTGAAATTTGTTGTTTGTACGTACATCCTCACTGCCCTCTAAGACAAAGTGTTTCTGAAAGGCGGAGAATGTTTTATTCCTTTCTAGTTTGTGTAGTCAATAATTAAACAGTAGGTGCTTAATACATGCTTTCTTGAGTGAACAGAATAGGTTCACTCTCCATTTTCTCAGTTCCATTATTTTGAAATTAGGCTTTAAGGGGTTTAAATAAATCCTGCATGGAGAAATATAAGTTAATTACAATTTTTATATTTTGCTTGGAATAATTGACATGCCTGGAATTCTTTCCTCTGTTCATAAATCTGTAATTCTCTAGAGAGTAATGTTCTTTAGTAGAACTTTTACGATGATGCTAATGTATATCTGCACTGACTGGTATGGCAGCCACTAGCTCCAGGTGGCTGTTTAGCATTTGAAATGTGGCTAATGGGCTGGCAGGTAGCTTGGTGGTTGAAGGTGCTGGACTCCCACATGGCCAGCTGGTTCAAGTCGACCTGGTGGCTTGCTTTCTCTTTCCTTCTCTTGCTTTCGCTCCCTCCCTCTCTGATCAAACTGGAAAATCATCATCATCATTATAATAATAAATAAAGTTAAAATAAAAAGAAATGTGACTAATACAACTAAGGAACTGGATTTTAAATAACTAAGTGTAATTTAAATGTAAATTTAACTATATGTGGATATTGGCTATCATATTGGACAGTGCAACCCAAGAGGATACTCTCTCTTATGGAAATGGTTCATAATCTAGGAATTTCTTGGAAGTTGAGGTACATTACGTATGTTGACTTTGCCTTTCAAGAGTCAACTCCAGAGTGACTGTGGGGATCCTAGTACAGTCACTCCCTGAGCCACAGAACTGTGATGACTGACATTGTTTCCTGGCAGGTAGCTAAGAAGAAATGAACTGTGCTTTTTTCTTTAATATCATTGTAGGTTGGAGATCTCATCTATGGCCAGTTTGTGGTTGCTAATAAAGATATGGAACCAGAGATGGTCTGTATTGACAGCTGCGGACGGGCCAATGGAATGGGTGTGATTGGACAGGATGGTCTGCTTTTTAAAGTGACTTTGGGCTTAATTAGAAAGTAAGTCTTGGTGCCTACTGGTTTCTCTGTCTTCTTTTATAATTATACCTTCATGGAAAGCTGATCTTTGGGGATTTGGATCCTTCGTAACATCTAAAGTTCTTCTCAGAGTTAAACAACAATGTCCAATTTAGATTCTTCATAACATTTAAATTTCTCCTCAATTAAACATCAATGTCCATTTTTTAAAGAATTATTTTATTTAATTTTATTTATTTTTAACTTGACCAGAGAGGGATGGATTGAGAGAGCGAGAGGGAAAGTGAGAAAGCAAACCATGTCTAGGACAAACCACAGTTGGCCATGTGGGAGTCCAGAGCCCTTAACTACCATGCCACCTGCCAGCCCCCACCAATGTCCATTTTAAACTCTTGAATTTCATTATGCCCCCTCTTTTAAAAGCCCACCTATTTTTTTTCTTCCATGAGTGAGAGCGAGACAGAGACTGGCAATCCCAGTGTTCTCATGCCATGATCCATGCTGGGCTTCAGCCAGCTCCAGGTCACGGGTTTGCAGGTGGCTGTTTCGTTTGGGGAGGTCTCTGGGCATGAACCTGAAATATTGCCATGTAGGTAGCCTCACTGTGTGTTGTGTTACCATTTGAGTCACCATCTGGCCCTTCTGTCCCCTCTATGTAAATATAGTTGACCCTTAAACAACACAGGTTTCAAATACACATGTACCAATATGTGGAGTTTTCAATACATATACTGGAAAGTATCAATACAACACAATACAGCATATTTTTTCTTTCATAAAATTTTCTTAATAGTTTCTCTTGCTTTATCATAACATAGTATACAAGGCAGAGAACATACATATGTCGACACTTATCAGCAAGACTTCTAGTCAGCAGTAGGCTATTTGTAGTTAAGTATTTCAAGAGTCAAAAGTTATACTTGGCTTTTCAGCTGGTCAGAGGGTTGGCATCCCTAACTCTGCATAGTTCAAGAACAATTCCATATCAAGTTTCAGTATTGGGCTGCGTAGTTTCCAGTGTTGGTATGAGGGCTAGACTGACACTTCATTCTTCAGGCTCTTACTCTGTCCTATTCATGTCTTCTCTCCCAGAAGGCCTGTTCCTTACAGATGATATACTCAGCCAAAATGTGAAAACTGACATTTCCTGTGTTTTAAGTTACTTGAATATAGGTGCAATCTGCAGTTGCACAAAATTATCACATTTTTGTAATAACGTAGGCCAAATTCTTAAAACAAAAAAAAAAAAAACGGAAGGCCAAACACAGGTAGGCTGATGTGATGCTCAAACTTAAGTAGATATTCACAAAAGGCTCCTGCTGTTCTGTCCTAGTAGATTGAGTAGTTCCCACTGAGACAGACTGTCTTTAGGGTTTTAGACTTAGACGTACCCCAAGCTGTGCAGTCTTGAAGGGGCACTGAAGTTCAGCGCTATCGTATATGTATGCCTTTCCTTGCTACCTATTCTTCAGATCTAGAGAATTAGCCTGGACACTAGAAAAGGAAGCTGCTAACTAACCAGCACCCTTGAGGTTTGAAAGAGCCAGTGCCTCTCTCCATGTACTGATATATTTTTTTTAACCAGGGAATAAGGTTTAAAGTGTCCTTTTAGCATTATGGATAACAAAATTATGATTCTAAAGTCCAAAATTAAAGTGCTTTGACAATCCAAGGAAAGAACTTTGTACATTTTTTGCAAAGTTGTTGGCATAGGGAGTTTGATTTCTGTGTTGGGTGCGGCTCCGTTGTGTAAAGGTGGGGGGAAAAGGGCAGCAGGTGTCATCACGTGTCTCGTTGAAATATGTCGGTGAAGTTTTGAGTAACTGAGAACTCCCCAGAAAAGGAGTTCCTCCTAAAAAAAAAGTCAAGGCACACCCTAAATTTTATTTTCTTTTTTCTCCACCAGACTATTAGCCCCAGACTGTGAAATCATACAAGAAGTGGGAAAACTCTATCCGCTGGAGATAGTATTTGGAATGAATGGAAGAATTTGGGTAAAGGCAAAAACCATACAGCAGACTTTAATTTTGGCAAACATTTTAGAAGCTTGTGAACACATGACAACAGATCAAAGAAAACAAATCTTCTCCAGATTGGCAGAAACTTGATTTAAGTGGACTTTTAATGGGCCAGCTGAGCCAAAAGACTGTGGGTGTCCTGGGGCAAACTCAGGTCAACCTCTCCCTATTAAATCTTAAGACAAGATGTGAATGTATGTGTTGTCTTTTGAAAGTCCTAATAAAATATTTTTATAAGAACATTGCTGGTTTTCACTCATTCTTGTGGGAGAGAAAAATCATTATAAAATCTTGATTTTTTTTTTAATGTATAATTTACTAAAATGTTAGTATTATGTTTTTAGTTATTAACTCCCCTAATTTTGCTAGAGTGCTGCTGCTTCTACACTAAATGAAGTCAGCACTAGGGGCCAGCAGGTGGCATGGTGGTTAAGGATGCTGGATTCCCACATGGCTGACCACAGTTCTAGTCTTGGACTTGATGGCTTGCTTTCTCACTCTCTTGCTCTATCCCTCTTTGATCAAACTAAAAATAAAATAAAGTTAAATAATTCTTTAAAAATAAAATTGTTTTCTGACAATATCAGTAAAAGATGTTTACCAAAGAGAATGCAGAATACATTAAAAGTATAAACAAGCAAACAAAAGCCACCCATAATTGCATTAGTGAGTGACTGTAACAGCGGACAATTATGTTTACCATGTACCAAGTATTGTCCCACGTGTTTCACATGGATTAATGAATTTTACTATTTTCTTACAAGACCACTCAGCAGATGAACACATTTAAGAGATTTTTTTGCTATAGGGCGTGTGCACCTGCTAAAGACACAGACAGAAGGGGAGAAATCACCTCCCAAAGGGTATGGCCAAGCAACAATTCCTTCTCCATTCTCTCAGGACTTTGGACACACACACACACACACACACACACACACACACACAGATGCCTGGCATGAGTTTTAAGTTGCCAGGTCCAGAACTTGAACTGGGGTTGACTGTGGGAGTCCAACAATGTAACCATTACACCATCTGCTGGTCCATTGTATTAGAATTTTTCTTTTTTCTTTTTTTTTTTTGAGAGGTTTTTGCTATAGGGCATGTATGCTCACAAGAAATAGAAAGCGAGAAGTCACTCCCCAGGGATGGCCACACCACAGTCCCTTCTCTATTCTCCTCAGAATCCTGGATACATGTGCACATGCACCATGCGTAAGTTTAAGCCACTGGGTCTGGGACTCAAACCGCAGTCGACTACATGGGAGTCCAGCAAACACAGCCATTAGGCCAACTGCTGGTCCCCTGTGTTAGAATTTTTTTTAAATTTTGCTATGTGTGTGCTCGCTGGAGAGTGACAAGGAAAGTGAGAAAGCACTCTCCTGGGCGGGAAAACACCGTAGTCCCTTCTCCTTTCTTCTCTGGATTTTTGGCACACATGTACATAGGCTCAGCACATTTTTCAGGTCTGGAACTCAAACTGCACAGTAGACTATGTGGGATCCAACCCCTTAACCATCATACCCCCTCGGCTGGCCTCATGTTAGACTTTTATCAATACTGCTTTTCTGCTTTACAATTTGATCTGCTAATTATATAAGAAAAATTTAGTTTGTACAAGGCTCAGGGCTCAGAAGGATACAAAGATACTCATACAAATTGTCCTAGTAGAATCCTATTATCAGGAAGAGAGAAGGCCTCCATACTCATATGCAGAACAGAAGGATTAACAGAATAAGGGCCAAAGAAGGGAACAAATTGCTTTGGAAACTCAAAATTAGGGTTAAGTCAGGACAAGCACAACTTGCAGAACTTATGAATGGGATATCACTGATAGAAAAAAAAAAAACAACAACATCAAAAGAGGCTAGAGGAAGTCATAATTTTAATGCTAGCTTAGTGAAAAATGAAACTCTTTATATAACAATAACAACCTAACTCTAAAGATCTTTCAGAAATACAAAACACACATAAGTGAATTAACAGATCCAAAGTCATGTGGTTTGGAGGCTAACTTCTTGCTATAAAAGGCTTCTTGTATTTAATACGTATCTGGGCACTCCTATGATCCAGGCACTATAATCGACACAAAAGAACATAAAATATGGTCCCTGTCATTACTTTAGCTTATGTAAGACGATCCAAGAAGACATCAAGTAAAGGAAAATATGTGCCACCACCCTCTGCTCTTTGGCCAAAGCATCTCCAGCACTTCTGCCTGCATCTGCAAACAGATTGTTCATCATTCCACTGAATTCCGAAGAACGTAGCCTTTTCCCAAAGAAACTCCTCTCTTCAACGCTTCAGGCCAGTTGTGAGTCTCAAAGTAAGCGGACAGGATATCAAACACTGTTGGAGGGAAAAGAAAACACAATGACCACACAAGGAAAAAGAACTAGTACATGACCGATAAGGAAATAAATGGATGTTCTGGAATATTTTATTCAACCTACTCTGCATCACACGTAGTACTAGGTCCTGTGAGGAAAGTGGCAAAGAAATGCCCTGGTTACGTGCAGCGACCTCAGCCTACACTGAGACAAGACTGTGAATGGACAGTGTTCCACAGAGAGGAGCACAGGAAAAAGGGAACACAGGACGGGCCCTGACATGGGTGGGGTACAGAAGCCAACCAAGAAGGTCCCTTATGGATGAACTGAATCTGAAGAACAAATAGGAATTCAATGGTCAATGAGAGGTTGAAAGCAGAACATTCTAGGCCAAGGGGACAACTTCAACTACCTTTAATGTAACAGGACCAGGAAGAATATGAGGACTCCTCCCAGAGGCCAGAATACACATCACAAAGTACAAGCAGTAAAGTCCAAGCACATCAATCACAGAATAGACTGAGTTGAGGGCCACCTAAACACAACACAGTGCAGCAGCACCAGAACTAACACACACTGGGTGTGGGCCCTGGGACCAGCAGTACCTTGATTGATGGCCAATATCTCCGAATGATAGTTCTTCCCGTTTGGGTGTCTGACCATGTATTCCTGGATTGGTAAGCGGGCTGTCTTGACAGAGTATTCCTGGGCCTTCTGAAAGGTCACCTTCTGTAAATCACAGTATTTTTATTATTACAAAAATGATACACGAATATAATCTGATTATAATATGCATAGCAAATTGTAAGAATCCCTATTTACCACTACTCCAATTTCCATCTGTAATCATAAAAGATAAACACATTAAGAAGAAGTCTATGGTAGAACAGAAGAAACTGCTGATAATAAAGGATGCTTGTTCCAAGAAAGAAATGGGCCACACTTCACTGTTGCTCGTTTTTGCTTTTAGAGGAGAGGGATCGTTATCAAAAGGCTCCCACTTACTAACACAACCAAGGAGGAAATAAGCAAAAGGGGCACATCTGCAGCCATAGTCGACATTAAAGGGCCCAAGCAGGGGCCAGCAGGTGGCATGGTGATTAAGGCACTGGACTACCCCATGGCCAAGTGTGGTTCAAGTACCAGACCCTGCAGCTTGAAACACACCAGGTGTGCAAGTGTATGTGCCCAAGATCCCAGGAAAAGAATGGAGGAAAGGGAATTGTGACATGGCCACCTTCCCTCAGTTATGATTTCTCACTTTCCCTCTTACTGTCTTTCTCTCTGGAGAACTCATGTGTCCCATGGCAACAACCTTAAAAAAAAAAAAAAAAAAAAAAAAAAGGCCCCCAAAAAATCAAAA